ATCCCAGAACGTGTAATGTTCAATTATTCAAATCGTATGAGAATTAATGAGTTACAAAGGCAAGGAAGAAAGCGGGAAGAAAGACGAGCACTGTACTTGTACTATTCATTGTAAAATATAAAAAGAAAACGAATGAGGGCAAAGAGAAAGAGACACAGAGAAATAAATCGGAACGAGCGCTAGCAATTCGCGAAAAGCGAAACAGCAAAGGAAATACGTGTCGCAATAGGAGGTGAAACTGCGGTCGGACCCTTGATGGGCAATAGAAACGTGCGTGTGATGCACTTAACTGGGTGTTGGAAACATATGTGATGGACGCGTGTACCAATACGTTTACAGATACTTTAAAACGAGTAGATGGTACGTCGCAATTGCCATTAAAAGGACAAATCCACGACGGTGTGTTTCGCAAAGTGAATTTATTGGCGGTCATTTGCATGGTCCTGAAGCAATTGTTGGTTTCAGCAGAGTAGGTCGTGTATCATGGAAGACAAAAAGTCCATAGAAATAACGTTAGCGGTTTATTATGTAAAACCTGTCGAGAGTCGATAATTCATGTGTCAACGAAGTGCAATATGAGCTACTGATAATAGAGGAATATCTAAAATGTATGTACATTGCAAAATGGCACGTACCCTTTTCGCGAAAATGATTGTTAGTTGTAAAATCAATCATCAGTTTAAGATGTTTATCTGTGCATTTTACGTTACGGCTGGAAAAATGTATATACTATATATAGTTTGATATGCATTACTTAAGAAAATAAATATATAAAATTAAATCTCTTTATATATATATATATTATATTTATACAATTATCTATATTTGATAATATTTATATTTTATACTTTTTTATACTTTTGAAGTTACGGATATGTTTTCTTCAAGGAAATTATGCGGCTTACGGATTATCTTTGTGTCTTGATTGTTAAATGCCAACATTTCATAAACATTACAATTCACGGAGCATTAACATTTAACGGTGTATCAAGACATCAGGGACGTAATCTGTAAATGATAATCGCGTAACTTTCTTGATTATATATATTTATAATGTAATAGAAGAGACTAATGAGAGAGAGAATAGAAGGAATGATACAAATAGGGTAAATGTATTTTTAAATGGTTTGTGCGCGTTAATTTAATGTGTGTGTGTGTGTGTGTGTGTGTGTAATCAATTTTTTAAACAATTTTTTACTCTAATTGTTGACAAAAATTATTATTTAATGTTGTTGTGTTTTTAATAATGTTAGCTCATTTAATTTGCATTACCACTTTAGAATATGAGATTAGAAGTCAAAGAAATAAAAGCGCAAGAATTTGGTGTGAAACATTCAATCAAATATAATAAAAATAAACTTACGTTTCTCTCTAATTTAATTATAAAATAATACATTACGTATAATTTTATAATGAAATATTTACAAAAGAACTGTAACACAAATATAATAACAAAAATATTGTTTTTTATAAGTTTATTTTCATATAATCACTTATTACATAATTATTTATATCAATTTTTAAATTATCTGTGTGATGTTACGAGCTAGTGTTTATGAGAATTATTCACAATTCGTAAATTGATGCGTTTAATAAATTATGAAATGAGAGAAAAAAAGAGAGAAAGAGAAATTAAATCAAATAACTATAATAGTTGAAAAAGAATAAGTTTGTGAAACTAAATTGTTAAGAGCCATGTAAGTCTGAACTGATGAGCATTAAAACTGGTTAACTATGTTTTAAAATGAAGATATGACGTAAGAACTTTAACGACGTGCATCGGCGGATTTCTCGGGAGCCATTATACAATTGATGTAATGTTTGATTTTGCGAAATAGAAATGAGGCGAAATTTTGTAATTTCATGATTTTCATAAATCACAATTCCTTTTCTTTCAGGTAAGAAAAGGGAGCGGCATTCATGAAAAGTCGCGTTGTCACGAAGTATACATATTAATCTCATAGTGCCTATTATAACTCGATAGCAATAATTGGATAATGTGGATCAATTTAGATCAAGATACCAATTATGTTCTAGAATTTACTTTTTGCTAATTATGCTTTGAATTTTCATAATGAGTAATACAAAGAGATGCTTATAACGATACGACAGTTAAGGGGATCCTAAAGACGATTGGTCGATGTTATATATATATATATATATATAAAAATGGCACTTACACACAGACATTTACGTGTCATTGACACATCACTACATCAATATTTTACTCGCGTCACACATACACATAAATTTTCGTATAACAATTACGTTTTAATTAGATGTCCAAGTTCAATTTTAAGAACTCTACATTGTTTCTTCATGCAAACTACTAGTCTCTGTGAACTATTTCGTAAATACAGATTGCTTTTATATGAAGTAAATGTTGTTACGACGTAACAGTTCTGGAGCTATTTATTATGAGCAGTTCATTGGACTAAGAAATGATAAAGAAGGTCTCTATTTCAAAATTTTTTTGTCCTTCTCAGGATAAACTTCACCTTGCACGTATTAATGCGTATACTTTAATCCTGGAAAAGGATTTTCGAATCTGTAAAAGAAGAAAAAAGTAATTGTTATACAAAAATTATAATTTAATTGGTAATACAGACGGCTTTAGGACCCCCTTAACTTATCACGCTCAAAGCTCACGGAGATATTGATGTGATTTAGATACTATTTAGATTATATGAAAACTGCATTTCTAATGCACAATAGAAAAAGGATCTTTATGAAAGACCATGCATGCGTGCATATTCTGAAGAGATAGATAAATGGCAGAAAAATAATTCTTTGTTATAACGAAGATTGCCTCCACGTGGTGCATTTCGGAAACATATATTATGGCTAAAAGATTTTCTAATTAGCTATTATTAGACTACTGTGCCGATTGATTTTCTCATTGCGTTTACTTCATAAATAACTATCATCGCATATTTTGATAATTGCGTATATCGAGGGATTTAATAGTATAACAGAAATAATGTAATATTAATTGTATTTATTTTTATAAGTAAACATTGAGATTTCTAAAGACATTGAGATTACATTATAATTGTTCACAAAAATGACAGAAATAATAAAAGAATGTATATCATAATTTACTAGATACTTTTACATACTTGTGTATTTTATATATAATTAGACGATTGAAAACACTGTAACTGAAAATTGAAAAGAGAAATTTGGGTCGATATCTATCATTGTTTGAAAACTCGTTGATTCACTGAAGGATAGACTCCTCTAAATAGAGATCGTTTGTGCGTAGTGGAATTATACTTAATCGAGATATTGCTAGTTACTTGTTGTCGAACCACTATAGTCATACCGGTCTTTTCTTTTTTTTCGAGTCTCCGCTCTCACTCTCAAGTGAAAAGTCCGACGTGCAGTTGATCGTCCGGTGCTTGCACCAGCGCTTCTACTTAGTTTCGCGTCGTGAGAAAGTTGTATAAATTTATAGTGATCGCAATTCTCTGTTATTCGAGGCAGATAATGATACTAATAGCATTAATAATCAGAAGGAACCTAATACACGTCGGATCGTAAGTGCGAAAGTGTCGGATTGATTTAAGGGGAGAGGGAACAGTATTAGGGAGTTTTTGCAATAACATGAATTCAGATACGGTGAACGCTAAATTCACGCTATCCTTTTCTTAATTGGTTGTTAAGAAGAAGATAACCTGACCTTAGCGTTCACTGTATCTGAATAAACGCTATTGCAAAAACTCTCTATTATTAAACTTTTGCGTACCGCAATGACGATCGTTGAAATGCATTTATAGGAGTATCACGGCATATCATTTCGATGGCATAAAACGTATGGAACGGCATATTGTGTGCAGTTTCGATAACAAACGATTATGGATTTGTGTGTAGTGATTATATGAGTAAAACAAAAGTTCCTTAACGTGGAATAAATGTATGTTTACAGTATATATTATGTTCCATATTTTCATTTCACTTTTATTGATAAATATTTATTTCTACAGAGATTTTATAGTGTATGTAACGTAAATTATATGCTAAATGCGTGTATTTATCGATAAAAGTGAGATGTGAATAATTGCGATATACGGACCTAAATAAATAAAAAATAAACAAATTTAATTGTATACTTTAAAGGGATATTTCTTATAAAAAAGTTTATGTAATTGCATTTGCAAAATGTAGCGCTGATTAATAATCAATTAGTAAATCGACATGTAAATAAAAATTTTTTAAATATTTTATAGTCTCTCTATAAAGTTTAAGGAATAGTTCATATATGAAAGAAAGCCGAGATCGATTGATGCATGTCTGGTCAATGTACAGATAAATAAATTCGTTGTCATTTTCAATATCACATAAAAACCAGTATCTATTACGTTAAACATATGTGATTACACACATTTTTCCAACGGTTGCCATTCAGCAAATAGCAATGCTACGATCTATTATTAAAGGCTGTGAAAATGAATGAGTGTTATGATGCTTTTTTCCGCCATTCTGAACACATTGGATCATTCCGGATGTGTGTGAATCGGTTCATAAGCAGATTTTTCCGAAAGGATGCGGATTTCAGCGACCGGTAAATCGCGCATCTTGCGCAAGGAAATGCCAATTAGGGCCTCGCTAGTTTAATGACTATATAAAAGTAAGAATTTGCTTTTATGACGAAGTTTTATTTGCAAATACACAAGCGCTACAGAGATAGGCAGTGTTTATAGTAAAAGTAAATATAGTAAGTAATATAGTAAGTAAAACTTAGCATGTACATACTTTGTATGTACAACGCGACGATAAACTTCCCTCGACCCATAAACATACGTTGGTTCATATTTATTGTATCTATTATAGAAACCAAAGCATAAACTCTTTAAATAGGTTATTGTCATATAAATTATATTAATATTCTTTTTTATATACAATCTTTTGAAATGAGCAAGAGTTTATTAAATCAATTTATCATGATAGTTAGAGAACTTAATATTCGTAAAATAAAGAGTCTCGTAAAATGTTTTCAGTTAACTTCAAAATGAACATCACCACGTCGCCGATTGACAGGATGTCTAACATCTATAACAACTCCGTAGTGCGATACTGGCAATTTCTATTCCACGACTTATCTGGTAAGTTTTTGTTACACGAGAGTATATTCGAAAAATATTCTGATTATTGAGATATTCACAGAATAATATATAACTATTCTTCTTAATATTATTTCCGTTTATTTTATTAATACCATAATGATATTTCTTTAACTTTATTATTCTTTAATCTCGTAATTTATAAGAATAATTTAATTTGCTTTTACTTATTAATCTCGTATCAATTATGAATAACTACACAACACACTTTATCCGAGGAACATCCTAAGAACGTCCTTAATGTCCTTTGGATGTTTTTAAAACATTTTTTGTAGGTCAGTGCTATATGAGTACATATGTAATTTAGAATTACAAGAAAATCTATTAAAAGAATTTAAAATTACAAACAATTGAACTTATTGAATCTATTGAAAGAATTTAAAATTATAATAGAACATTTATTTTATAATGGCCTAAAAATCTATTTTCAAAAATTAGGACTTAATAAACGATGCGTCTTTTAATTGTTTATCATTATTTAATAATAACAAGGAAAAAGAATGGAATGTATAATAAAACTGTGAGTTATTTAATAATAATTTTTTAAATTGCCAGAATTTATAATAAAAGTTCAATAAAAGATAAAGATTACATTAAACTGTTTGTCTTGTTTTTTCGTAAATGAGTTAGTTTTAGTTATATAATTCATAATTTAATTCTATTTAATTACATATCTAAAAAATATATATTTAATTATATAATTCATATATATATATATATAATATCATTCTTTTAGATAATTTATATTGGATTTCTATTAATTTTTCTTAATTGATTAAAGCTAAAGACTATAGGAATGGATGCAAATAGAAAAAGTGAATTGATAAAGCCGTGCATAAAATATAAATTCAAGATATTCTATTTCATAATTTTTTTATATATAATTTTTTTCAGATCCTCGAACTAGGGACTGGTTTCTCATATCATCGCCCGTACCCGGTCTTAGCATCTTGATTGGCTATCTTTATTTTGTATTGTCATGGGGTCCGAGAAATATGGAACACCGAAAGCCGTATCAGTTAAAAAACACTCTAGTCGTATATAACTTCTTACAGATTCTTCTTAGCACATGGTTATTTAAAGAAGGCTTGGAAGGAATATTTTTCCATAATTATAGCTTTACATGCGAGGGGGTGGATTTTTCGTACAAACCATATCCTCTAAAAGTACGTAAATGCTAAATACTAAATATATATTCTTCTCTCTCTCTTAAGTTTTCAATTAGCCATAATTTATCTTCTGACATTTCACGTTATTTTATGCATAACTTGAAAGATCTCTATATGCTATTTATCTTCCCGATTTAAATGTGAAATATTCTCATTTCGAAACAGTATGAAAATATCGTAATTAAATCTTTTTGCATGATAAAAAGAAAGATAGAGAATGTCTGTTAATTCACAAAGTACACCTCATTCAAAGGACGTCGCGTAGACGTTACAATATCAACAACGTTGTGATGTTAATGTGACATTCCTGAAATAAGGTATGCTATATGGAATATCTTTATCTACTTTCTACACGATATCGTTATAGGTCGCAAGAGGCGTTTACGTTTACTTTCTGGCGAAACTCACAGAGCTTCTCGACACGGTATTCTTCGTATTGCGCAAGAAGGATAAGCAAATCACTTTTCTTCATATGTATCATCACACTGTGATGCCAATGATATCGTGGGGCGCTACAAAGTATTATCCCGGTGGTCACGGCGTTTTTGTAGGTACGTTAAAAAATAATGTAATAATTTAATATCTTTTTTCTGATTTTTTTATTTGTACACGGAAAGAACAATTTTGCTGATCTAAGATTTTGTTAGATCATCGAAATAATTTTGTTGGTAAAATATCAATATTTTTTGCATCATTGCTTATCATTTTTTAATTTCGAACATTAATTTCCTAATTATTTTGATGATCAAATAAAATTATTTTCAGATTTGTATCTATCAAAATTTCAAATCTTTTAGTAAAATCGTTTTTTGCCTGCACTTTTTCATCAAAAATTTGATTCATTGGATTTTCATCAGATTAGAATCATAAGTAATTCATAATATGACATTTTTCCTTGCAGGAATTATGAATAGCTTCGTGCATATTATCATGTACACTTATTATCTCCTGGCAGCATTGCTACCTCACGATCTGCAAAAACAGTATCTCTGGTGGAAGAAGTACATTACTACTCTTCAAATGGTACGAAGCAAATAAAGTAATACTTAATTGGTGAAGCTACTTTTTAAAGCCATTTCTTAAAACACTTTTCACCGAATCTATTTTAATCATTTGTTTCCAATCGACTAATTATTTGTACTTATGGCAATTTTTGTTTGATAGTCCCAATTCTGTGTGGCCTTCCTACACAACTGCCTATTGTTATTCTACGACTGCAACTATCCGAAATGGTCGGTCATTCTGGTGTTGCCGAACGCGATGTTCTTCTATTTCCTGTTTTCGGACTTCTATAATAATGCTTATACTTCCAAGAAGGAAAATGGCGCAGTGCCGTCGATTCAGAACTCGGTCAAAGCGAATGGCGTCGCGGAGAAAGTGAGCGACGAGATACCGAACGGAAAAAGGAAAAGCGATTAAATGGGTGCAGCCGAGGAAGGAAACGATGCGATTGCAATAAGATGGTCACTACCATTTCACTTGACTCGCAATCCCGCTATCCTGCTATTATAGACGACGTATCAACTGTATTTCCTGCTGGGATGTTCAAACACACGTAAAAAGACAAAATGTAAATTAAAAAACGTAAAGACGTCCAGACATTCGCGTAAATTGAACACATCTGACTATTTGACAATTAAATTTTCAAACTTTTTATGTTTTATTTTTTTAATTTATAAACAAAAGCGATCCATTCATTACGTATCTTCTTATACGATAACGAAGTTGTATTGAACAGCTAAGTCATTAAGGATATAATCAGGGTTGGAAAAGTTATTTTATAAAATTAACGTTTATCGTTATTTGTTATCATTTTTTTTTTTTAAATATCTTGTTATATATAATTATTTTTTTAATAACGAATGATTAATGATGTTATGTTTCCTTATTTATAACGTTAATAGTAACGCAGTTACATGTTTTAGGTAACAGTTTTAGGTAATGAATCATTCATCGTTACTTTCCATACAACATAAATCATTATCAACAATTTCAACAAAATTGTAATGTTCAACATTCAGTTAAGTAATATTGCAGTAATTTTGTAAACGTTGCAGCAATGTTACTGCAACCTTCTATACTGTCTGAATGTGTACTCGTATAATAACATGTGTATTATACACACAGCATATTTTATCTTAGGCATGTCGAACGGACGTCATTTTTGGATATCGCGATAATCTTGTGATATCCGTGGATGGTCTCAGATATCTAACGGATATTTAAGGGATGTACAAGTGTCCGCATGTGTGAGATTCCACGGATGTCGTGTAAGATATCTGTGGAATATCCAAGGAACTCCATAAGATATCACAAGTATATATGCGTGTGTATATATGTGGTTGTTATCTAAAACAAAGGGAAATGTTTTAGATTATTATATTATGGAAGCATGAAATATATTATTGTAAATATATTATTATAATATATGTCACATTTTTCTAATTTATATATTTTTAGGCTGCGTTTGGAAACATTTATACCCGAGTGTCTCTGTTTTGTTGTTCACTCAATATTAAACAAGGATAAGATGATAGATACACGGGGGCACCTGGATAATGTTTTCGAATACAGCCTTAGTATAACATCCCTGGCGGAAAAAAAATTTTTACGAAAAAGTACAGAAAAATTAGATAGATTAAGACAAGATCTTAGAAATTCTTAATTTTTTGTAGATATTTGTAGTGGGACGTAGAGTGGCGTTGTTTGAGAGCAGAGAATTTCTAGGTTTTTTCAAACAAACAACGCCGCTCTATGTCTCATTACGAATATCTATGAAAAACTAATAGTTTCTAAAATCTTGTCTCAGTCTATGTAGTTTTTCATAAAAGTTTTTCCATCAGAGATTTAATATAATAAAAATCGTTGTAAGCTTCATATGAGATATATCTTAATTGGTTCGCAGTACGTCGTATCGTTTGGGTCCAAAGTAACTATAATATTCTTTACTTCTAATCTATTTATAGTTCTGACACTTTCTAACTGCAAACCTTTGATGTACTCTGGGCATCCTTAGAACATTTCTTGGAAAACTATGTTGTGTGGTGAAAGAATTTGAATGTGGTAGGATATCTTAAGATAATTATGGGATATCTTACGATATTTTACAATATTTTCTTGGATATCTCGGAATGGAATATCCGCGGAATCGCTTTGTCAATATGGGACAATTTGGGATATCTTCATGATAAAGTGTGCTGTGTGGGGAATGTACAGGCGGACGGAAATACTAAAAATCTTCCGATTTAAACGAAATGTAGTATTAAAGGATTTCGAGGGACGTTGATTTCGAAAAATCCCTCGATTTCTATTCCGAACTTAAAATTTGAAAATTCAAAATGGCTGAACCAATATGGTGGACGGAAATGTTACAAATTCTCCGATTTCAGCGAAATGTAGTATTAAAGGGAATTCTTGAATTCTTCAACGGAAACGAAGTACTCTAACAGCCTTAACGAAAAGAGGCTTCAGGGCAGATAATATGGCAATTTTAAGATAGGATACAGAAAAAAGAGTCTGGCTTAAAAAAATTGAATGAAATAATTTCAACCAAGCGCTCAAATAATATAAACAAATATTATTTTATCTTTATCAATATTTAGTAAGTATTATCGTTCACCCCCAAAAAAATATTCTATCGATAAGCGAGGAATTCCTCTTAGTATTTCGTCTAAGCAAAAAATCTTACATTAATCTTACATTAATCAGGTGCGTGTATTTACGACAGTATTCATCTATAAAAACAAGCATACATGAGCTATGATCAAAAATAAATTTCTCTATATAGAAAATTCTATTATAATAATTTGAATAGTTTTTTGAAATAAGAAAATATACAAAATACTAGCGGCACGCTAATTTGTTAGAAGAAGTTTGTCATTTACATGCATGTCAGTACATGCAAAACATTCTTCTAGTAATATTGAGAGGATTGCAATCCTAAATCCAGTACTTTATAGTTATACGAAATTCCTTTACTCTTTGTAGAGTATTCTCTCTCTCTCTCTCTCTCTCTCTCTCTTGAGGTTATATAAATGGAAAATCCTCTGACATTAACACGGAACCGCTAATTGGCAGAATATTTTTTTTTTTTGGGTGTTAGTAATACCATTTGGTAATACTAAATATTTATAATATAAAGGTAAAATTATGTTTAGTTGTACTAAAACATTTAGTTGAAATTATTTCACCAAACATTTGGTAGTTATTACTAGATTTTTTTTCAATGTAACAGTAACGATAACAAGTTACTTTTTTGAATTAATAACAAATACTTATAACGACTTCACAACCTTGAATATAATTATACATGATTTGCTTGTAGGATACCTAAACCATCACATTATATATATATACAAATATACAATTAAGTGGACAAATAATAAAAAAGTTATTTTTTGCATTCTATTTTGTCTCTATTAATTTATATTATTTATATTATTGATAATTTTAAATAATACGGAATATTTTATGAATTATAATATCATTTTTAGACCGCGTATGTGAGAGACACAACCGACAAATAAGAGCTCTATAGGGTCGAAGCTAAATCTTAAAATGCTTTAAATAAATCAATCTTGAATCACTAAATATGATATATATGTACTTGACATATATACCACAATTGAAGTCTAACGAACTGTGCACCGAAATATTTCTGGACTAAACACAATTAAACCACTGTAGTAATTTCGCGAATTAAATTAAAATTCTAATAATTTCGATGCTCAATCAGGTATCATATTTCAAAGACATTAATATGCTGAAAAACTGTAATTAAACTTATTACGAAAAATATTACCTCGGTCGGGAGTCGAACCGGAATACAAAAGATCCGGGTTCGACTCTCGGTTCGATGCCTGATTGAGCATCGAAATTATTAGAATTTTAATTTAATTCGCGAAATTACTACAGTAGTTTAATTGTGTTTAGTCCGGAAATATTTCGGTGCACAGTTCGTTAGACTACAATTGTGGTATATATGTCAAGTACATATATATCATATTTAGTGATTCAAGATTAATTTATTTAAAGCATTTTAAGATCTAGCTTCGACCGTATAGGGCTCTTATTTATATTTTATTAATTATTTGTAAAGTTTAATTGCCATTAAAGATGAAATTTAGATGATATATAACGAGAAATGTTTACTCAAAGCATCGTAATTATCGGTATTTAGTCCATTTTTATTTTAAAACCATTTTAAACCATTTTAAAATATTAAGATGATGTCAAACGACGTCTTAATAATGTCTTGATGATGTCATTAAAACGTCATCTTGCTATTAGAAAGTAATGGTTTAAGATGCTAATACGGCTCTGTGCTTGTCACAAGACTGTACTTAAAACAGTCTTAAATATAAGAACCGATTATGAATGGCTAGCCATAATCTCCGTTTCTAAAGGTTTGTCATGATTGGTTTAGTAACTTCACAGCAGTAAGTGTATTGACAATAGTACTAATAGTAGTCTTTTATATAAGATTATGCCGATTTAATTTTAACGATATAATTGCGAATTAAATTATGATTTATCGTAAAGAAGATACGAACGGAAATGAGTGGATCATTGTGATGGCAAGCTAATAGTTTTATCGCTAATATCTTTATGACATAAGCGACATATCTTGTGATTAATCACATGATATAGACTTAACAATGGTACTAGGATATTATTAAATAATACGTGCTCTAATTGTTATCGTTTTACGATAATAATTACGGCACGTATTAGTCGTTCAATGTATAAATCAACTATTTATGAGTATTAATAAAGAGTTTGGCGAGATATTTTTAAGAGCGCGTTTTAAATTTGTAACAATATAAAACTTTTCTCCATTTTATGTTCGCTTTGCATTCATTATTTTGCAATTTTGCGATGCACATTTTATCTGTGTATGGCTTTCTTTTGTGTATTTGAGCACTGTTTAAAATGTGTAGTCGATAATTAATAATACCTTATATAGGGCAAAGAATAAAATTTTTTGTTTATTAAAATACTTTTAAGAACGATTCAATGATTTATGTTTTGCTATCTTTATACGCGTAATGTGCAATACAGCACAATGATGAAGTTCACTGGAGATATTCTCGAATATATTCTTTTTTCTCTTATATTGCATTCTTTTTTTATATAAAACTTTTTTTGTCTAGCAATAACTCCTAGTAATAAATTATTACATTATTGTTATAAATATTATTACGTAATATAATATTATAGATAAGCAGATAAAGGATATAGTTTTTTCTTTGTAAGAGATATGAGATATATCATTTAAATAAGCATGATTCATAAAATTTTAAGTTATTTGTAATTGTAGTTTTATAAAAATGTATTTTATAAAACTATCAATTTTAGCTATAATTGAAACTTAGAATTATTGTCAAAATCTTTTAAAAATGAAAAAAGGAAACTTTTAAATTTAAGATTATTAAATTTCGCGATTGATAAAAAATGATTGAAAAAGAAAATAATTTAAAACTCTGTTGAAAGAATATCTTTATTAGAAAATATCTTCATTCGACGTCATTATAATAGCTGTTTGTACATAATAGATGTATTCATAATATAAGCGTTCAAGATAATTTTGAATAATGGTTTACCACAAGTTACGCGTCAAATGTGTTCGAAAAGTCAATAATCAAATTTGTATGTCAAACAATTGTACATGTCAGGTCTTGTAAGAATAGGGGGTATATATGAGTAATCGTTATTTT